AAATTTATTAAAATGACATAATTTTAAAATAATTCTTTTGTTCCATAATGGTGTGTGTGTGTTTTTTTTTTTAGTTTATTATGAATTGGCAATTATTGGTGCTACAAATAAAATAGTTAAAATTGATGAATGGTGCGAAATGCATCTTTCATTTAAAATAATGCAATATTTTATTTTCATCCATTTCATTGTTATCATCTTGGTTTTGAATAATATTTGCAGAGTTGTATTCAACAACGTAAGCCATATTTAATAAGTAAAATATTTAAGATGTTTTCATATGAGATTATCACCCTTAGTTATGTCTTTTAATAATCATATATAAATTATTTAATAATATTTTTCCCTTAATATAAGTAATCATTTCCAAACCATTCCGTAATATTTTTCTTTTAATATGAATATATCAAGTTCTAAACTTCAGTCGTTGCTAATAAAAGTAGAAAGCATAAAGGGTAATTAATTGCTTTTTCAACTTAATTAAGTGCTTAATTAATAATTAGTGGTGACATTGATTTGGGAGATGGAGATTTGACGAAGCACAAAGTATAATTGAATACGCCTAAATGAATGGTTTAGAAGACAAAATGTAGGGCATCTAGAATGGGGACAAGGCTGCCTTTAGGTACAGAGGGAGATAGGGGGGCAGCCGGGCAAGTCGGATTGTGATTTGTGTAGATTAAAACCTCCAAACGCTAAGCAACTTGGCTTTCTTATTTTATTGAAAGGGATGTGGTATCCACAGTCCAATGCAATTTTCATCCCAATTTTGTTAGGGAACGTGTATCCCCCTCGGACTCTCTTGTCCTTTCCCACTTTTTCTTGGTTTCCCAATCACTTCAGTGTGCAGTTGGGTCCAACAAGGTCTCCATCTTGTCGTGTTCCTACCGGCTTCTGTTCAAAATAATCAATATTTAATAAAATAAATTTACATATTTTTAATATTTTAATTAAATGAGACAATAAGTTAAAGTTAAAAATTTAATTTTTTTAAAGATTAAAATTAATGTATTTATCATCTTAAATTAATTAATTAATTAAAATTATCTATAAATATTAATTTTTATAATTTTTTAATCTAAATTAATCATAAAAAACATATTTGTTATACTCTTAATAAATCCCCTTAATACTCTTTTTCGATTGACTAAAGGAAGTCTCCTTTCTCAGGCCTTCCATCAATAACTCTTCTCTTTGAATCTCCTTGCTCAATCCGTGTCTGCAAAAATGGCAGAAGCACTTGTTTCTACAATCTTACAGCAGATAACAACAATCATCTGTGAAGGAGCCCTAGAGGAAGTGAGACTAC